ACATGATCAAGCCAATGAAAGGGTACCGGGAGCATATTATTAAACAATAAATTCCAAAACAACTTCAGAAAATGCTACTATGGGAGCGAGACTTAATTGATATCTCATACGGGGTATATGATTCAAATTGTGATTATATCAAATATGTATCTAACCAATTATGATGTTTAAATTTCTCAAATTACGATTTGAGATAAATTAGTAAGATTACTAAAACAATTTAAATCTCATATGAATAAATATTATTCATACACTCAACATAAAGGTCTAATTAGGACTGTCAAAGTTCATATTTCTAAAACTCATGAAAGAGTTACAAAAATAAAAAATAAAAAATTAATAATCTGAGAAAACTCAATTCTCATTATAGCGGATAATCATAAAATTAGTTTTACATTTAACCTCTCATGTGGTGAGTCTCTTGTTCTTCACTGCCTCTATCATATATATTACGCACAACAATATTTTTGACCTGAATTATGATTGTATTGCAGTATATATAACTACATTTGTTTTATAGAATATCATGTTATATATAAATGACTTGTGCTTTGAAATGCTTAGTAGCATATTATATGTATTTCTGAATGTAAATATTTGTTATTTTAATATAGTGAAATATATATCATGTAATGACACATTAGCAAATAGTGCCATAAATAAATGATAGTGATGATGAATATGTATGCTAATTGAATTCAAATTGTGTCATTAATCAAGTAATTAAAGCTCCTTCTCTAACTGTTATTGGATAATAAATACGTTGGAATTATACATTTCATTTGACTAGTAATAAATGTCATTTAGAAAAATTCAATCTCTGTATTGCTTGAGCCTTTGGGCCAAACTCGCTTCTTCACTATCCCATTCATATGACAATAGATCAAATTCCTAAAACGTTTATTCTTACCCCGGCCTTCATATGATTTTAGATAATAAAAAATTCACTTGTTAAATCCAAAATCATAATATTATAAGGTCACAAAAATGTTGGTATAGATGATCACTAATTCACACGCATATACACACATAGAAGCAGTGTGATTTTCTTACTAATCAATTGGTGAACATTGAAGAATAAAAACATTTGCGTAGTATATACTCCGTAATATTTTATCCCAGGAATGCATCTACATGCATGAACTTTCATATCCATTTCTCTTTTATTTTTCATTCCTCAATCTAGTTGAAAAAAATAGAATTATAAAATAGATCAAATTTCATTAAAAATAAAACTCAGTTCGCCTAGTGCTAGGCATACTCGGTCAAGTATTGACCGGATACGCTGGTCAAAATAAATCTGGGAGCAAAAGAACGTGGCTGAATATTTGATGAAAATCCTGTCTCATACTCGATCGAGTATTGGCAAATACTCGACCGAGTATGCCTATATTTCGCAACTTCCTGGAAACTACCTCTTGTACTAGGTCGAGTATCTCATATACTCGATCGAGTACAACACTCTGTCACCTCCATTTTGCTATAAATACACTCCTTTCCCTTCACATTAGAAACACCAATTCACATATACTCTTAAGCTTACTTTAGAATAGGGTTTCTTTATATTTTTCTAGCAATGTTTAGTCTCCAAATGAGGAGCTAAACTTCCATTTCTTGGTTTTGCTCTTGAAGCTTGTTGATTATTAAAGTTGTGAGTTATTTTCTTAACTTTTCTCCTTGAATATTAATTCTTCCCTTAATCTATTTCTATATTAATGTTGGGGAGTGTTGCTAAGATGATAATTAGTCAACATCTTGACATTAATTATTACTAGAAATGATCAACGAGCTGATGGTTAATCGTTGATAGTTTCATAAGTAAGTAACTTCGGTTTATTAATGCACGGTTGTGGTTAATAAACTTAAGAAGGATTAATTTTGTTGGTTAAACGGAAACTGTTGAGTTGAGGTTATCAATCTCAATTGATTTCATCAAGGACTTAGAAAGATTAAATGCTACTATTAAATCGGTACAATGTATTGTTCTATATTTGATTAATAGTAAGAGTTATTAATGAACGGTCGTTGTTAATAACTACCATCGATGAATTGGATATACTCCTCGATTGAGTATTCGAGAGGGGATAAGTTATAGATATAATAAGGATCGACAAAATACATCAACAAGTGGAAAGTTGCAAATAGGGTTGTATACGAACCGAATCGAGTCGAATAATGAGATTTTGTATTTGTATTTGTTTAATTTTTTCGAATACGAATTCGAATTCAAATATGAAACGAATATTAATTTTGATTTGTATTTGTATTTGTTTAAAAATACGAATAGTTAACGAATCATATACGAATATCGAATCGATTTGAGCATAAGTTAAATTTTAGTCAAATATCACTCTAAAATAACTTTTTTATATTCAATATTTTTTATGTTGTAAATGCATGCTATGACTTAATATGTGTTTTTTTAATTTAAGTTTACTGGATCAATGCATTTTTAGATTTTACACAATATACTAAAGTGAATTAATTTTATGATTAATAAATATAAATCTATTTCAAACTTTTTTAAATAAACACTAACACACACATATTAGAAATTATATTTATAATGTGTGAAATAAGTTGATAATTGTATATATCAAAGTCAAACAACTCTAATTTTATTCTTCAAATTGAATACATAATTATTTGTATTGTATTTGAAAGACGTTTGAACCAAAAAAATTGATTTGTATTTGTATTTATATTCTGATTTATTACAAACAGGTTTGGAATTTGTATGCAAAAGTGTATATATGGGTTACACTTTGAGGGCATTGCTATCTTTTAAAAGTTATTATAGTGTTATTACTACTATTATTATTAATATTGACATTAATATTACCATTATTATTAATCGAATCTATTTGATTAATATTCGAATCGAATACACTGATATTCTTATTTGTATTTGATAACAACTCGAATCAAATTTAATATTCTTATTTGTATTTGTATTTGAATTTTCCGAATTCGAATTGTCATATACGAATTTGAATCGCGAATCGAGCACAAATTATTTGATTCTTTTACAACCCTAGTTGCAAAACCAAGTTCCTTTTATCTTTGAATTAAAAACATATAAGTTATTCATCTTAATTTCTTATTAAATTAAATCATTCAACCCCAAAACCCCCCTTTAATTACTAGTTCATAAAAAGAGAATTATTCCATTCTCTGTGGATACGAACTCTACTACACTATACTATGTATATGTGTTAAGTATTGAATTTATTTTGACGCACTACGACAAAGTGCTCGTCAAATTTGGCGTCGTTGCCGGGGAAAGGCAATTATTTTTCTTTTTATTTTCTTTCATAAAAAAACTAAAAAAAAACTTCTTACTAAGCTTACATGAGTATATGGATACCAACACATCATCCCTAGAGAGTCAAGTTTCCGTCTTGGCTTCTCTAATAAAGGAGTTTATATTATGCTCAAAAGCTCAAGATGCTAAGACCTGCAACATTTGCATGTCTCATAGGCATCACACGGATTTTTTCCCAAAGCTCCAAGAAGAATACCGTGAACAAATTGATGTTGTTGATTTCCAAAGGGAAATACCTCACATGAGGTATGATCCATTCTCCAACATGTCTACGGAAGACATGGTTCTGGCTCTTACTAACAACATGACCACCATCCAAAAAACTTGGTGCAATTCCAAAATGAGACCAAGTCTAGCATTTTAAACTTGGAAACTCAAATGAGTCAAATTGTCGGAGCCGTGAGTAGGCTTGAAACAAGGGATTCAGAAAAAATTCCCTTTCATATAGAACATGATTCTGAACATCAAGCTTTTGCAATCACATTGACGAATGAGAAGGAATTGCAAAAGGAGGCTCAAAATCCAAAAGAAGAAGAAGAAAAAGACACGAAGCTCCAAATGGTCAAAGAAGAGGATAAGTCGACCTTCAAATTCAAATCTTTATCCTTGTCATCCTTTGAGGTACCTCCGCCATCTCTATAAGTTTTGAAGGAAATGCGTAAAATTGAAAAGGGCAATAACGTTTGTGAAATCTTCATCAAAACAGAGGGATCGAAAAACTTTTCATTGACCATTCTAAACGATAAATCCTTTCCCTCACTCTCACCACACGAGTCAATGAAAATCTGGATATTTGATCCTGGAAAGATGTTCAAAGTGAAGGATCAGAGAATTCAGCATTTCTATGAAAGTCTTAGGAGTGAAAATGTGAAGAAGATGAAGTATCACGATCCAAGCTTGAATGATTGAACACAATGATGACGTCAGGCCGCGACATTTACTAAGACGCTTCTTGGGAGGCAACCCAAGCAAAGGTACGTAGTTTTCCATTCTTTTTATTGTTGTCTTTCACTTTGAATGTCGATTTTGAGAAAATGAGAGAGAGGAAACTAACGATAATGATCAAAAAAGAAGAAAAGTGCAGGTTTTAAAGAATAGGAAGAATATTCGGTCGAGTATCACCCAATACTCGGTCGAGTATAGGTGAAAAGGAAAAAACTCGTTCGATTATCTCACATACTCAACCGGATCTAAAACGAAAAAATTCAAGATACCCGGTCGAGTACTGATAAGGCCGTATTTAGACACGCATTTGATGCGTGTTCGGGTTGGATTTTGATGGTTTTCCTAGCTTTAAGGTGTTGCAAGTCTCAATTTTAGCTCAAATTGCGATTATCAGGCGTTGGGTCGAGTTTCTTGGCATTTGGAGTTGAATTGAAGAAGTTAGAGTCCGGCAACCACCTTCATGGCGTATTTGCTCAGCATCCTCATAATAGTTCCCTTCCCAATGACACACGATTGGGAAGTTGGAGAAATCCATATTCTCATAACAATACATGTCAAACTTTCATGAGTACACATTAATATACACACTTTATACACCCAAAGTAATCATTTCATACACATAAGAACATATTAAAAACTATCATATTTAAGCAACTCTTATAGGATAAGTATACACCTAACAATGCCAAAATATTACTACCTCCGTCCCGAAATGAACTTCCTATTTCGGATTACGATGCTTGACCGACGATAAAGCAACTCGATCCCTGTTCATACTCAGATTACTTTTAGTAAATAAAATTTACATATCGAGAAACTACATTAAAACCACTACAAAGGCTGATAAAAAAATATAAATTTTATAAAAATTTGATATATAAAACATAAGATTAAGAGTAATTTAAGTTGACCATGTGAATAGTGACTGTGAAGTTCATTTTGGGACGGAGGGAGTACATTTAAAGAAGATGTATTGAAGAAGATGGAGGTGGAGAGTCCTTGGCAAGGTGGCTTCGCCGGAGATGGAGGTTCGCCGGAGTTGGAGTGGCTCTCGTCCGCTCGTCGTTCGTCCTTCGTCGCTGCAACTTTGGGGGATTTGGGGGTGTTGTGCGTTCTGTCAAACAAAACCGACCCGTCTTGTTATTTAATAGGTAAGTCGTCAAACGGTTGGGCGACTTATAAGTCGCCAAACCGGATGACGACTTATAAGTCAACCATGGTTAAACCCATCAGTAGATCGGTAAAGAGTTAATTCCCTAAATAGGACTAAAACAATGAAGAAATGCACAAATAGGACCTTCATGTTTTATAGGACTAAAAAAACACTCATTTGACAAAATTACCGTTAATGAAATTCTAATCTATTTACAATTAAAAATAAAAATAAAAATAAATCTGAAACCTTAGTTTCTCTTCTCGCTTCCACCACACTGGGCATAGCCTGCCGCCACAGTCCCTATCGCCGCCACCGCACCAGACACCGCCGCCTCTCCAGACTTTGTCGCCGCTCTAGCTGCCGTCGCCGCTATTGCCGTAGTGGCACCGCTGCTACTGCCGTAGTGCCACCGCCTCTTTAGTAATCACCAGACGATGGCCGCTAGTTTTGAAAACAAAAAAAATCATCTTGTTGCACCAAACAACTATTTTATTCACGTAATAAGAATGAATATAATAATGGCAGTTTATTTCTTTAAACTTGGCGGTTTGGGAAAGGTAGACAAAATATTTTCTGCCATAGTATATTAGCCAATCTGCCATATGATTGGCAATACATTCAAATTAATGTTATAAATAAAAGTTTTTCTGCCACAATATAATTTTCAGTACTACATGAAACTGCCAAAAACTTAGAAAACCCAATTTATCATAAATTCAACGACATCATACATAAAAAACATGAAGTCAATGCCCAAAAATTAGAACAATCGATGTCAAACTCAGAAAATTTTCATTAACCCAAAGATTTCTTCCAAAAAAACAATAAAATCAATAAGAAAAAATCTTTTGTTTTCTGTCACAATATAATTTCCAGTACTACATGAAACTGCTAAAAATTTGGCAAAATGTACATCCAATATTCAAAATCGGAAAAAACCGATTTTTTACTGAAATCATAAATTTAACTACATCACACATCTAAAACACAAAGTCCATGCCCAGAAATTAGAATAATTGATGTCAAACTCAGAAAATTTTCATGAACCCTAAAACTTTCTTCGAGAAAACAATAAAATCAATACGAAGAAATCTATTATTTAAAGGAAAGAATAGAGAAGCACGAAGAAGAAGAATGAAGAAGAAGGAGGAGGAGGAGGAGGAGGAGGGGGGGGGGGGGAGAATAAACCTGGAGCCGACGATGGTGGAAGCAGGAGGAGCAACAGGGGGTGTAGAATCAGCGGCAGTGGCGGAACTAGAGAATAAATTAAGCAGGAGCACAATCACTTTATGTAAATCATCACATTAATAATAAAATTGTCTTAACAAATTACCCTAACAAAACATACCAAATTTAATCAAAAAGGTTAACGTAATGGTGCTAAATCCAACCTATGAGTCCTCATGTTCTGAAAATGTTGGATAATAACCTCATTATCGATGCGTCTAAACACATCTCTTTCTATGAAGCAGACTACACAATCAGTAAGATAATCATCTCCCATTTTATTACGTAAAGCAGTTTTGACAATCTTTATCGCTGAGAAGGCTCTTTCCACCATAGTTAGTTAAATACGGTACGGGAATTAAACGAGGTTTAATACGCACGCGTTTTATTCGGTAACATTAATGAAAAAACGGTCAAAATACGTTCAAAAAAGCGTTGACTTTTAAAAAATGTGTTAATACGTATACGTGTATAATACGGTATCTGTTACAAAAATTCGGACAAAAAATACGGGTACTATTTTGAACATTTAAATTATATACTTCACAAAATAACATATATAGTAAAAAGAAATAAAAGTTTACACATATTCAAGTTGCAAATCGCATTACTACATAAAAGAATAATTCTTAATTGCATAAGTCGATGATAAAAATAAAAATAGTAATTAAGTCCAAGACATGATTTTGTAAACAAATGTCAACAAATAAGACATAAAATATAGATTAAGCCTAAGTTAAAATGTTTATCTTTATATTATCATCAAATAACACTCAATTTAAATTCATCATTTTCATCAAGATGACGGATGACATATGTGACTGCTACGCACGCTTCTTATTATTTATGTGTAAAAGTTTATACTAAAAAAATGTCAGATTTAGAATAACTTTAATTTTGACATGCTTATTTGGAAAAACATAAAAAATCTAATACTCTGTAGTATTTTAAGTTTTAGTCTTTAAGAATGTTAGCTTTAGCTTCCATGCAATTCATTTTAGTATTTAATAATTGTATTTTAGCAATACAAAAACATGAGGTCACATGGAAGAGCTTATCTTTTTTTCTTTTAAATTATTGTTGATCCCCTATATATTGATTTAATGTGTTCATTCAATTCATCAGTTCATGTTTTTATTTTTTGTAAATTAAGGGATGCAAGCTTAAGCCGTCATGCAATTAATTTTTGTATTTAATAATTGTATTGTATTTATTAATTTTTGGTTTTACACTATTGTTGATCTCATATGCATTTAATGTGTTTATTCAATTGATCAATTCATGTTTCTATTTTTAGTAAAATACGGGAAAAATACGTTTTATTCGGGAAGTAGGAGTTTTTTTCCTTTTTAAACGGACCGACATTATTTTTCGTTTTAAATGTGTTTTTTTGTTCAAAAAAACGGTACGCGTTTAAAATGGAAAAAAGCTAACTAGGCTTTCCGCTGTAGTTGTGGCAACAGGCAAAACTAGTGCCAAAACAATCAGACGGTAAACTAGGTGGAAAACAGTATGAATTCCAACTTCAACCATCTTCTGAGATAGCTCTCCAATATTCTGCAAATTGGAAAATCTTGCATTCCCTCTCATTTCAAAGATCCAAATTTGAAGTTGTTCTTCAAGTTCCATGCGATCTAGATTTGTGAAATCATTTGGATATAATGATGCAAGCTCAATTAACTTTGCCTCACAAAAATTGGAGAAATTGTTCTTGGGATCAAGACATGCTACACACTTATGTAATTTTGTCCGAGTCTCACTGAAATGATTGTCCATCTCCATTTGAATTTTGTCGATGACCTAACAAATTAAAGTAAAAAAAAACTAATCAATTATGAACTAAAATTTTACATAAGAAACACAATAAAGTATTTACTTTTACCTCATATAAAACCTCATACCGAAGATAGTGATAATTAGTTTTATCACCTCCAACACGCCTTGAATGAATGTGTGTAGTAGGATCATCCAAATTAATAATTGTGATACCATGTTTTTCACAAAACTTGTTCACATCATTAACAAGACTTTCTCATCCGGTTTCCCTCAAATCTTGCAGCTTTTCTTTTGTAGTTTGAACTAAATTCACAGCCTCAAGAATATTCTGATTTTTTTATTGCAAAAACTTAGACAAAACATATGTCAAGCTTAACATTTTTTTCATCACATGCATGGGCAACAAAAACAAAATAATAACTCTCCATCTTCTCAATTAAGCTTCCCGCCAGTCCTCTACTTTTAAAATCAGCACCATCGTCATATATCTTACCTAGCACTTCAAGAGTGGGAGACCATAGTAATAGCAATCGAAGGATGGTAGTATAATGAGAACCCCATCGTGTAGCTCCTGGCTGAGCTAAGGAGCATTCTTGGTTCAAACCTCTTCCAGTTTCTATTTCTCCCTTCTCTAACATTTCCACTAACTTTTCCTCTTGTATCTGTCTGAACTCGTCTTTTCTTTTGCAAGAAGCTCCAACCATGTTAGTAATCATACTCAAAAATTCAAAGAAATCACTCAAAAAATGATTAACCATCGAAATTGAGACAATAGTCAATTGCAATTGATGAGCAAAATAATGTATGTATCTAGCACATGGGTTTTCATTCAAAATTAGAGTTTTCAGACCATTGAGCTCACCACGCATATTCGATGCTCCATCATATCCTTGACCACGTAATTTAGAAATCGACAAACCATGTTTCGAAAAGAAATCATCTACGGCACTTTTCAAAGAAAGAGCAGTAGTATCAACAACATGAATAAGACCAAGAAAACGTTCTATCACTGTCCCATTATCATTAACAAACTTAACAACAACAGCCATCTGCTCTTTTATAGATGAATCACGAGCCTCGTCAACTAATAGAGAAAAATATTTTTCCCCAATCTCACCTATTAACTCTTTTCTAGTTTCAGAGGCACATGCGTTAATAAGTTCTTTTTGAATTACTGGACTGGTGAGTTGATGATTGCTCGGTGCATTGTCCTTCACAACCTTCGCAACCTCATCATTCCTTGCACTATACCAATCAAGAAGTTCTAAAAAATAACCTTTATTGGCTGAGTAATCATGTTCATCATGCCCTCGAAAAGCTAGTCCCTGCACAAGAAGAAATCGAACAATATCCAAAATTGTCGTGAGGCGAACACGATAAGTGGCCTCTAATTTGTGTTTACCAACGGCAACACAACTTGTCAAACTCTGCCTTTGATCCTTAAAAGCTAAAAATGAAGTTCTAGCATCATTGTGCCCAATGCTTTTGACATGTTCTCTAAATTTTTCAGGGCCTTTCTTCCAATTACGGAAACCCTTTTTGACAAACACTTCATCACCAAATCTTTTCATTTCATCTCCTTTAAACAAATAACACCAAAAGCAAAATGCAGCATCTTCAGACACACTATATTCCAACAATTCTCATTTTGTATACCATTCCCTTTGAAATGACCTAGATTTGTTTCCAAACACAGATCGTGGGAAATCATGTAAATGTGGTTGGCAAACACCTTTTACAACATATTCTCTTCTTATGGCATCCCTAATTGATGGTTCATAATCATTTATTGATTTTCTTAAACTCGGATCACCAATTACTTCATTCTCAAGCTCATTATCTAATGTAGTTCTTTTTTCTCTCTGATCATTATCTGTCACCCCATTTCCATCAATAGTAGATTGTCTAATCCTACTCTCGATCTCGCTACCGATCCTACCATCCGTTTCTAGAGGTGTGGCTTGTAAAAAAATTTTGAAGAACTAGCATCGAAACTTATTGATGTTTTTCCCGGGGAAAATACTTCTCAATTGACATCCCCTAATGACAAATATTGAAACAACAAATAGTTAATTCAAGATTTCAAGTCGAACTATTAATCTATTATAAATACTTCATTAATACAAACAAATGAAACAATACATTCACACAAAAAATTATAATAACACATAATCATTATATTTAATTCAATCTATTTTACACAATTACACTACATTGTGACTACATATAACATCTTTTTCAAATCATAACTATGATTTAAAAAAAATCAATAGTCAAATACTCAAATACCAAATTTTATTTAATTTCAAAGAGAAGAAATAGGAAGTCGGAAGCGGAACATACCGTCGCCGTCGCCTGTGAGGCTATGACCGGTGGGGACGGCGCCGGCAATGGCTGCAGGTTGGAGAGCTGGTCATCTGCTTCACTCGCTTGTCGCTTGGTCAGTTGGTCTGCCGTCGGCTCGCTTGCACCTCGTGTTCCTCTCCCCTGCTTTGACGATTAGTTTAAGAATTAGGCAAAAACGTTTTAGTTATGGGCTGCAGGTGGCTGGGCCAAGCCCGATTGACCCAATCTTTTTATTCCCAACCCAATACAAAATGACGTAGTTTTGTTAAATTAAAAAAGTCCTTCTTCCTCGCTCAGTCACAACATAGAACGGTTCCAGCCCTGGCAGTTCGCCGGAAATCTCAACGCAGACCACCGGCGGCCCCCCATACCCCCATATCTCCGGCGGCCGAAGCAGGGGCACCGGCCCCCCTTGCCTCCGACAGTTCCGTCCCTGATCAGCGGCGAACTCCATGGCGCCGACAGCCCTTGTCGTCGGCGAAGAGGTGAGTTGCGCATAGAGTAGTGCCGCAGGTCTCATGAGGCGCAAGCGTGAAGAGATGAATTAGAAAAGAAATAATGGCCCAAATAAGACTATTAGACTTCTATTTTCCAAAAATATGACCAGTATAGGATTAGACAAAAAAGTAACCCTTCAATTTGCTTCTCATCAACATCCTTCCGTCTGCTTCGTCGCTTCCCAAACCAGGGAGTCCCAAACCTAGCCATGGAATCGCCGACCTAGCCATGGAATGCCATGGAATCACCACCGCCCTAGCCATGGAATCTCTGCTGCCTTCCAAGACATGGCATCGCCTCTCCCGCCCAAGCCATGGCGTCGCCGCCCTGTAACCGCTGAGACCATTAGCATCACCGCCGATCCTCTTCACCGTAGATTATGCATATCTCGCCGCTTTCATTGTTTTCTTCTCCACTTCTTCTACCCGACAGTTCACCGTCCTTCTCCTCAAATCGATGGCAGATCTCATTTTCTAATGTTAAAGTTGAAGGGTGGGGCAAGAGTTTGAGCGTTGATGGGGGCAGCGATGGGGGAAGGAGTTGGGGATGGCGGGTGGCCAGGGAAGAAGGTTAGGGTGGGGGAAGTTGGGGTAGTGGTGGCAGTCGAAGGGGGTGTGGCAGCCACTGTACACGGCGAGGGAGCTAGTTCCAGGTTGGGCTAGTGGGACGGGGGGGCAGGGGGGCTGGCCGTGGAGTGGCGGCGGATGGCAGAGGGGGTGGCATGGGTGGTCACTGGAATGGCGGCGGCTGGTGGCGGGGGCAGCACCTTCCCAGATCTGATAGATTCCAGATCCCGACGGTTAGATTTGACGGCTAGGCTTCCTAACTTGGATGGTGGGGCGGTTGTTGCTGGTTGCCGGCGATTGGTAGCAACAGGGGAGGTGTTGGGTTTGCTAGTGTGATTGGGGTGCGTTGTGGACTGTGGGCTAAGAGGTTCGCTGTGTGTGGGACAGTGACTGAGGCGGTGTTGGCGGCAGTCACTATGTCTGAGTCATCGTGTCAGAGTCACTTTGGCCGGTGGACAGTCACTGTGAACGGTAGGGCGGTCACTTGCTCGGTGGGGCAGTCACTGTGGCCGTTCAGGCAGTCACTGTGGCCGTTCGGGCAATCACTGTGGTGACGAAGTCACTTTGGTCAGAGTCACTTTGATCAGAGTCACTTTGGTCAGAGTCACTTTGATCAGAGTCACTTTGCACTGCAGGGGTTAATTGTGGTGTTAGTCACATTTTTGGAATTTTCAGAAACATGTCACTTTGTTGTCTTTTATCTTATTTTTAGTAATATCTGGTCCAAAAGGCCGTTAGAAAACTAGGTTTTTGATGTTATTATATAGGAGGACATAATGCTAATCCGGAGTCACATTTATGGAATCGAAAACTTGTAGTCCTATTTAGGCAATTATGTTTAGTTTTAGTCTTATATAGGACAATTACTTATCGGTAAAATACTTTTAACCCAACATTATTTTTGTAATTAATTAATTAATTGGCATTAATTTGAAGAAAAAAAACTCAAGCAATTTATAATATTGAGTTAATGAGTTCGATACTTCAACAGTGAATATTGAATACCCCCGCCCCCCACTGCATGAAAATCAGAAACGTTGACGTGTGACCTCATAAAGTTCGCAGGCAAAATGGTAACAGACGGCGCGATGAAGCGCTACTATATTCCTCCTTTCTCTCCAATCCTGACTCGCGAGTCAACTCAGCGCAGAAACGCACGCACTCCACTCCTCTGTTTCAATTTTTCGCATTAAACCCCTCCAAACACTTCCACCGCCCGCCATAACAAATTCCTCACCATCACCATGGTCAACCACACAGCTCCCATTATTACGCCTTCCCACCATCGGAACATCTCTCGCCATGCACCGTCACACTCCGCCAATTCGCCTCATCGCCCCTTCTCTTCGCCGAAGACGCCATCTTCGGTTACGAGCTCACCGCAGCCGACGAGATTACGCGTCGATTTCAGTCCACCGCTGATCGCAATGGTGGTTGTCATCGCCGCTGCTTTTGTTCTAATCACTTACTCGAGACTAATTTCGCGCCACCTCATTCACTTACACCGTCGCTACCGCCGGTGGCGCCGAAGGAGAAGGTCATACGTGCCGTCGTCTTCGGCCGGCGATATTGAGTCTATTCCGTACTCCTTTGATCATACAGACGGATTCCAGTTGTTCTCTCCGTATGGACTCGACGAATCCGTTATCAAAACTATTCCTCTCTCCATTTATAGCCGGAAACGCTCCGTTCACGACTGCGCTGTTTGTTTGATTGAATTCGAAGAGGACGACTACGTCCGCACGCTTCCGGTGTGCTCGCACGCGTTTCACGTGGACTGTATCGATATATGGCTCCGTTCTCACGCGAATTGTCCGTTGTGTCGTGCTGGAATTCTCCGGCCAGATTCGCCCTTCACTCCATTGATGGCAGCGAGAATACGGCCAAGCTTAGACGACTTAATATTAGAAAGCGCGATGTTGGAGCCCTTAGCGGAAATTCCGCTAGAGTCAGACGTGGCTCCAGAATCAGAGATCACGCAGGAAGCATCGCCGAGACGGAACAACCAATCAGAGGACCGTTTCAGCGGCCCCGATTTCCTTCTGAAACGGTCGTATTCGTTCGGATTCGAAAGGAGCATAGGATCGGAGAGGCTAATTTTGGAAGTGACCACCGCCTCTCCTTGGCGCTACCGCAGAGGAGGAAGCGGAAGCTTCTGGAACAAGCGTCCATCACCGTTCAGCTCTCTGACGAAGCCTAGAGTGTTCTCATTCCGGCAGTACAGGGGAATGAAGTCCCCTTTCTTCCGGCGGAGAAGTATAAGCTTTTTCCCCGGCTCCACCGGCGGCGGAGGCAGCTCATCAAGACGGACCAAGTCATTCGCTAGCCCAATCTTCATCAGATCATCCGCTGCGGCGGGATTTTTCTCGTCGAGCCGGCTGAGAAGCGGCGATCCGGAGGCGCTGCTATCACCGGAGAGATTCAACCGACGGGGATAGAACAGAGGGTGGCGGCACGTGGGACAAGGAGATTAAATGACTGAACCATCGGGGACCGTACAGTAATGGGGTGACCCGTGGAGGTTTCGGATCGGGCTGGACAAATACGGGCGGTATTAATGAGTTTGGGGGCATTCTGGCGCTCATTAAATGGAAGACCGGAGAAAATTGTGTAAAAAAAGGGAAATGCAGTTATGGCATTTAATGGGAATTGACTACTGATGGCTTTTGCCTTTCCCCTGTCTTCTTCTCAGATCTCATAAACTTGGGTAAGTTGGGAAGGCAATTAATAGTGGCATCATATTTTAATGTCTTCAACAACATTTTCAATTTCCACATTATCTTAGACTCATGCAGACAGGGGTATGATTCCAAATCCAATTTATCAGTCAATGTAAATATGTAATAAGTTTAGTTCAATAGTTTAACTTCACCTTGGAGCTATACATTTTATACACAGCATTGTGTGAGGCGGTTGAAACGACTTCAAAACAGATGGAAACATTATTTTCAATTTCAAATCCTTAAATTAGTACGGTATATTTTAATGTGTCTTAACTCTTTTTTCTATTAATCAACAAAATTGGGAATTGTTAGTATGCATTTCACATGGTACAAACTTTTATGTAATTAGATTAGATTATTTCATCTCTTAAATTTATCATCTAGTATGTGACTTAGAATCGGAATTAGTTATTAAAGTTTGTTCAACTTAAACTAGCAATGGATAAGAGTGAAACTTTCCAATTTGATTTGTTCTATAAAAGGGGCACGTCAAACATAGGAGTCTAAATTTGGTTTTGGTCCAGTATGATGTAGTCTGTTTAAATTTAATACGATTTGGCTTGGTTGATTTAAGTATGATAGTTAGACACTAACTAATGCCCTAGCATGTCAGTTTTTGAACTAATTCTCTTAAAAAAAACTCCTCTTGGTCTTCTATGTTGAAATTTTAACTTAAGAAATTCAAATCTTTATAGGCACTAATAAATAAAAAAGATCAGAATCTATGTGTACATCTGAGGTTTACTTTGGTCTTATTGTTTTGGATTCATTTTAGTACGAGACTAAAAGAAATGATACGAAATTATATGTACACAATCAAACAAAATAATATTAGATGATATTTAAACACGTTTACCAAGAATTAACCTATAATAAAACCATATTCCCTCCGTTCCCAAAAATACTTCCCACTTTCCTTTTTGGGCTGTTCCCAAAAATACTTCCCACTTTCCCATTTTGGACAATTTGTGTGGCTCACATTCATTTTACCTTTTTCTTACACAACCACAATCATACATTTTCACTTTATTCCACTTTCTTAATAAGCGTGCTAAGTCAAACCGGGAAGAATTTTTAGGAACGGATGAAGTATTTAACAAAAGTATACTAGCCCGGCTGTTTACTAGTCTATGTTCAAACTTGACTAGCCCGGCTTGTTTACTACTCCGTACTTGGATTATGCCAAGACGAAATACACAATGGAAGCTGACCCTTTCGGGTTTCGGCCAGTGTTAACTATATGAAGACGAAATTTCAAACCATTTACTCATGTTAAAATTTCATTTGATATCATGGTAATTAAAAATATTCAGGGCTTCTAATAAATTTTTTAGTTCTTGATGTAAATGTAATATGGAGTACATTATAAGCAAAAAGTTATAAAATCTTATTCTCCGTATTAAAAGTGAAAAATCCTAGCAATCAATAATAAAAGATTATACTAGTATACTTCCTCCGTCCCAGAATATTCTTCCCGGTTTGACTTGGATCGAAGTTTAAGAAAGTTGGAAGAAAGTGAAAATGTACGGTTGTGATAGAGTAAAAAAAAATAATTGAATGGTAGCCACACAAACCTTTCCAAAAAGGGAGATGAGAAAAAAAAAATTGGATATCCCAAAAAGGTAGTGGGAAGATTTTTTTGGGACGGATGTAGAATAATTCACTGTAAATTAAAAAAATGCTTAGCTATTAGATTTTGTATATACTACGTCAATACTGCTAAATTTTTAAGAGAACAGGGCTCCATCATTCGTGGGGCTCTGCTACATACTACGTATAAACTATGTAGTATAACGTATATAATATGCTATTAGCCGGCACTAAAAACATTTTCATAGTCATGGTTTTGGTTTTTTCTATTAGTAATTACTCTAAAATGCACAAATAGGACCACTACATTTTTAACAATCCCAAATAGGACTAAACAATTGATTCCTACCAGAAATGCCCCTAAGAGTATTATTTCATAATGAAATGTTATAATTCATAATAAAATTATAAAAAATCATAAAAAATTAAAAAATCGTACAAAATAATAAAAAAGATAAAAAAAATATTTTTAAAATAAAAAAAAAACTATTTTGTTTGAATTTTTTTTAAAAATAAAAATAGCAAAAAACTCATAAAAAATATGGATATCTTGGATTGGTGAAAATTTTGCCATTTTTTGTAAAAAAATGCCAATGTTTTCTGAAAATGCCAAGAAAATGGCATTATTACTCATCATAATGTCAAAATTCTCATTGAATCTGCCATTATTATGGCATTACTAAATATATTGGCAGATTTTCAATCGGTGATGGGAGCTGGGGGTGCTGGGGGTGGCAGAGGCGGCGACGTTCTTTTTACATTTTTTTAAATTTTTTATTTTTTTAAAAAAAATTAATGTTTTATTTTATAAATATTATTTAAACTTTTTAATATTTTTTAACATTTTTTATTATTTTTGTACGTTTTTATTTTTTTATGATTTTATTATTTATTACTCCGTAAGACATTTCAAAAGCTACAAGGGTATATTTGTCCAAACACACATAAATAGTCCGACTAGAGGGAATTAAAAACAGGTAGTCTTATTTGTGTTCTTGGGCCACTTTTTTGACCTATTTAACTAATTAACTCTTTTTCTATATATCTTTGTTTTAAATTGTCATTATTATTCGAAATATGATAACTTTTTTATTCATTGTACGATCAATTCCCTATAACTTTAAAGCTTGGATAACAACAAATAGGGTTCTTGTCAATAGGAGTTAAAACACTAAACTACACTATAATATCAAAGAGGAGATGTTATATTCCTCCTGAAATAGGAGTAAGTCATGTTGTCCTAATATCTTACTGTCATATTGTGACATTGCCATACGTTAATCTGTTGTCTTCAAAACCGACAATATTTTTCAATGATGACACTAAGTACTTATATTTAGGGAAAACATTGACAAGTAAGAGTAAATTAATGCCATAATTGAGAAATAGGAGTAACATTGACACTTCAATTCTTACTTTTTTGGTTTAAAATTTGTCAAAACATCATTTGTTATAAAAGTTGCCCTAAGCTACATAAGAGTAAATTGATGTCATAATTGAGAAATAGGAGTTACATTGACACTTCTTACTTATTTGGTTTAGAATTTGTCAAAACATCATTTGTTATAAAAGTTGCCCTAAATAAGAGTAAATTGATGTCATAATTGAGAAATAGGAGTTACATTGGCACTCTTACTTATTTGGTTTAGAATTTGTCAAAACATCATTTGTTATAAAATTTGCCCTAAATAAGAGTAAATTGATGTCATAATTGAGAAATAGGAGTTACATTGACACTTCTTACTTATTTGGTTTAGAATGTGTCTCATGGAGTATATGGGCCTGGACCCCATAGGCCCACATACTCGGAAGAACAGAAGGTACCACGATCACATGGTGGGACCCTCGTCGGCCAGATGACCTCCATCGGCCAGAAAGCAGTCTACTCAGAATACGGTCCAGGAGCCAGGAGAACCGGGTGACCTCGTCGGCCGGGTCTTCGTCGGCCGTGCCCTCATCGGCCACGAGCGGCCCCCACAATAGGATCTTATACTTAATTATTTCTACATCTCTTGTACTCGGCCCAATAGTGGCCCTATTGCAAATGGGCCTCCCAAACCCAAGACTTGGGAGCTCAGCCCTAATTTTTCCTATAAATACTACCTCTGGAAGTAGTTGTAAGGGTTCACAATTCATTAATACAAGACAATTATATTAATTCTCTCTCTAGCTCTCACTTCTCTCTAGATATATACACTATCAGTGTCAAAACATCATTTGTTATAAAAGTTGGCCTAAATAAAAGTAAATTAATTTCATAATTGAGAAATACTGGTGTTTTGACAATACAAAATTTTAAAATAGTTAACTAAGAAGTGTCAATGTAATGCACGTTCGAAGAGGTTAGATCAATGGAGGACCTAGGGGGTCCTAGGGAGGCAAGTGCCTCTGCTTCCGACCCCTGAAATTTAGTATTAGTACTTATGATAAAAATTGGTGTCCTCGTTTCTTGATGTAAAACTATGAATATTATATACGGAGTATGTAATAATTCTGTCAAAGAGCATATGTAAATTGTTATAAGACATTTAAATGACTACGAAGTTATCATGAAGCGATTTTATACGGACATGGTCATTCTTTGAAAAGTGGCATTGGTGGTTATTTTTTGTGAATTACGAATTATCTTTATCCAAAATTAGAAGTCAATGATATGACGAGACTTCTAATATGTCTGGTGATCTTAATGGATTTAAGATTATCTTAAATGAAATTTCATACACGAGATGCATTCATTGTTTTCTTATCAATTACAATTAGTTGGTGTGGCTATTGCACAAAAAAGAATTGTGTGGATACTATCTTTGGATATTTTTATGTGGTTATGTTACTAAAATGTTGGGATCCCTTTGTAAAATAAAGAGCGCATTCTGACAAGAAAACACGATACCATAAAAGAGTTATTAGAAAAGGGTGTAGTAGTAACAAAAGGGAGATGATTGAATCAAGAAATTAAAGTAGTTTAGCTCGGTCGGGAGTTACATGTTAGGATTCACAATTTAATTCCAAGTTGATGAAAAAATTTTGGACACTGTAATTTTGTGGAACGACGTGTAACGTTGGACACTATCCTAGTTCTAAATCAAAATTCAGACCGTTTGTACTTTGTAGTACAAAACAACTTGACCTCTAACCCAAAACAAGAAATGGTGTCAGAATGATTCAGTTCTAATTCATATGAAGTACGGAGTATTATGTTTTTATTTCAAGAAACTGAATATTATTGTTTAGAATTGTTTTAATGGGTTGAAAACTAGACATGTTGTACATATATGTAAATCATTTGAAACTGAAACTGAATAATTTGTTTTTATTTCAAAAATTGTCTACACATTGATTAGATTAGTCTCATGCCCGACCCGGTTCGTCTTCGTCCATACAGTAGTGTCTCCGCTTGAGAAAAGTTCAAGGTCGGCCACCGGGTTAGTACATACTCCCTCCGTCCCGCAAAGAAGGTCCCGCTTTCCTTTTTTAGTATTCCCCAAAAGAAGTTCTCCTTTCCTTAAATGGGAAGTTATCTACATCTCATTTCCCAAAACAGTGTCAAACATGCCAAACAATGTCAAAATAGTGTCAAAACAGTAAAAATTACCTTCTGATAAGTTTATTTCCTTAATATGAATGTAAGTCAAACTATGAACTTCTTTGCGGAACGGAGGGAGTATAAT